AGGGCACCTCAGAACCGGCGAAGTAAAACGGTATTCCATGAAGTTAAAACTCTGCGGAGACCATGTAGAAGTTATCCGGTGTTCACTCCCAACGGTTGACTTAAAGATTACTGGAGGCACTTCTATTTTTGAGTATGACAAATGTGTATATTATTTTCCTTCTTTCCATGAACGCCTATCCAGTGCCAAGTGCAGTTAATGTTAACTGGATCTCATGTTTTATTGTCTTTCTTTTTGTCACTGTTTTTATTTTCCTGTGTTGTTCATAGCATAACTGCCTAACGCTGATTTAAATAAAGAAAAGTGATTTATAAAGATGTGGAAGTGGATTTATTTGTATAATCTGTAACGTCAATGTATGAACACAGTGATATAAAAGAACTCTGTTGTACACTGACTAGGTCATTTGTTAAACCTGCTCCCTGAATCGGGTCTTTTTAAAGTACAGTTCACAGCAAACAATATGATTATCAATGAATGTTTTCATAAGGCTGCAAGAAAAAAACAGTTTTGCCTGGTCCAAAGTCAATATATTTTCAAATACAAAGCTTCAAAGATGTTCCTTGGTCCACTCTGAACAGTAGACGAGAGTGGTAAATGCAAGCTAATGTTTAAAGACCTCTTTCCTCATTTTACTTCAAACGACCACATTATGAAACTTTAGCGTGTGCACATTTCCTTCCAGCTCTGCAACATGCGGACTACCTTCTAACTGACTGTCAGGAGGGTCTATTTTCTGCTTAGGTTATTATTTCAAATGTTTTTTTATTGAGCAGAGGTTTGATATCAACTTATTATAATCCAAATCTGTAATTAGAGTTATCAAAAGCTTTGGTTCTGGGTGGGTTTGGAATAAAACGATCAGACTAATTTGGTTGATGTAAGTGTAGTCTTAAACCTGACTCTGTAGACCATTTTTTAAAGGGTTGTCTAAATATTCAGGAGATATGTGTTTCTTGGTCCTCAACCAACAGCAGTTTAATTCATCAGTTATTTCTTTCATAAATTGATGGATCATCAAGAGCAGAAAGGACTAAATTGAAAGCAAAATAAACTCTCATGTAAGGACTTGGTTACATCACAAATAGGACATTTATGTTTGACTGTTTTTTCTTTTAATCATAAAGTTTTAGAATAACCTGTCACTATATCATAGTATAACTAGTCTTTTGCATTTGAGCGAGAGATGAGCTGTGTTGACGGATAAACCGCAGCACTAGAGGAGAGGATGGAGCCATGGAGATGACACGGAGGAGGAGGAAGAGGAAGAGGAAATGGAACAGTTGCAGAGGACTGGCGCCACCAGAGGAAGAGGCTCTCTTTCCGTGGCTCGAAATAAAGATCTCACCCAGACCCTTCCGGACTTGTTCCATTTTAATCCCTCGACTCTTGCCACTTCCCTCTTAACCCTGAACTGTTACCTCTGAAGCTGCGTTTGATGTTTCCTCCCTGGCTGAGCACAAACGGAGGCATCAACAGGTTTAAAGAGAGCTGGTCCGAACAAAGAACATGAACTACAATCATATACGTTATATAAGATTTAAGATAATCATTCTTCGCTTTAAATAGCCTGAGCTACCTCCCTGGAAGAAATATTGTACTTTAACATGTATATAATTTTATTTTGATAAATTTTATATCTGAATATAATTTCAGATATAAAAGCCTTATCAGGTAAAAATCTCACCTTTGTTTCTCCACAAACTCAACCAAATGACCACTTTCCATGTACCTCAGTTTGGAAATAATTCTCTATGATGGTTGTACTTTCTCTTTTAAGTTATGTTTCGGGCCTTTTTGCCTTTGTTGGAGAGGACAGCTGAAGAGTGACCAGAAATGTTGTGAGGAGAGAGTAGGGAATGACATGCAGCAAAGGGCCAAGGTCAGATTCAAACCCACAGCCGCTGCGACGAGGACCATAGCCTCTGCACATAACCCCGAGGGTATTAGCCCTCCCGATGGTTGTACTTTAAAGTCAGGAATTCTTGACTGAGTTCTGACGCCTGGTTTTAGGGCTAAGTGCATAAAGAAAAACATCTTTGAAAACCTGCTAAGCTCCAAGGGCCGTATTCCCAAAGCTTCCTAAACACTAAGAGTTGCTCCTAGTCACAAAATTCTCTGAAAGTTATTGGAATCAAGACGTTTTCTAAGAATTTCCCCTTAAAGTTAGACTACATCCTTGTAAAAATGAAAGTTATTCACAAAGTATCTTATCCCCTAAGAGAGCTCCTAAGGTGTCAAACTGTTAGTAGTAGTGAGAAGGACTTTTAACAGGCTAAGAGTTTCTCAAGCTGAGGAGAAAATGGAGAAATGTTCTGCAAACACTACATGAAGAATATTCTTATTGAATCGAAGTTGGGCCGAACAGACAAATATGATTTGTGCAGATCATTTCAATCCATCTATAACTTTTTTCAGTGCCAAGTGAGACATGCATGTTGAGTTTGTCTACATGTGGTTACCGTCACAGGTGCTTCCAACCACTAATTAAGACTCCTCAGCACGTGAAGGAGCTGCTGCACAAGTGGGCATGCGATTTCAAACATCTTGTAGGCTGTGTACTTTAAAAGTACGACTTACAATTGATCACGCAGATGCTAATTTCAAAGTGTTCTTTTCTTTGAGACAATTCTTTTGGATCAACCAATCACAGCTTCTGAAAAAATGTGTCATACCTAGGAACGGGGTCAACCCCGCCTCCTCACTAAGATAAAAGTTTCTGTATCTTCTTTGCTCAGAGTTGCCTTGAGAATGTCCCTAAATCACTCTGAGGCTAAAGGATCCTTGCTAGGAGGTCTCTGAGAGGATTCTCAGAATGTTTGCAAATACTGGCCCAGAACCGTAACTAAATAGACCTTGTGACATTGTTAAAGAGCTTTAGAGAGTATTATCTTCAGTCTTTTTTCAGACTAAGAAATAAAAAAATGTCCCTCCCTCTGAATGTTCCTAATCTTATATCTTAAATGTGGAGGTTTTCATTAGTTATATATATTACAAAGTGGTTTACTCGTGTTTAAAATACATAAGTAAGCCGACACAAGATTCTAAATTCTTGACAGTGTTAGTTTAAGATTTAGCGCCTGAGTGCATTTCCCCACTAACAGGTTTAACAAAGATATTAAAAAGAGGACTTTTGTGACAAATGTCGTTTTCTTTCCATACTGGTGTTGCCTGAATGTATGTTTTCTTTTTTTTTTTAAGTTGCTTTTGCAAAACCCGTTAACACAAGCTAAATCCGTTTCCACAGGGTGGGAGTAGAGAGATGTTGAACTCTGCAGCGGTTTTATCTCAGGTGCAGGGTTTAAACTCAGTCAGGCAATGCTTAAACAATTATCTTTCTCCTCCTGCTGCATATCTACTCAACATGAGTGTAAGAGAAGCAAATGACAACAACTAAAAAGGCCCTATTGGAAAAGTAACGCTCACTGGGTGCAAACAGCACAATATAAAAGTTGTAAGGAAGAAAGCGGCAAAAAAAAAGTCCTTTCTGGCGGAACGAGCCAACCCTTTCTCTAAACTTCACTGGGAAGTGAGCACTGGTTCTCCGTGCACCCAGAGAGGGGCCACGCTGACCCCATTACACGAGCAGATATCTTAAATGTTTGCACATGTGGACTGTGATGCTGTTTGCAGCCGTTGAGCTGCTTAGCAGGCCCCCAAAAAGCCCTCAGGGACCTCCTTTTTTTTCTTCTCTTTTTCTCTCTCCTCCTCCTCCCCTCTCTCTCTCTTGCGCTCCATCATTATCGCCCACATGCTTTTCCAGAGACATCCTGAGTCAAACAGCTCGACGTCCTCGATGGCTATCACATGTTCTTGCTGAGGAGGAGGGCAGCTGGGGAAAGACATCTTGAAGAGAATGAAATGGTGTACTAGCACAGGATTTTTTTTTCTTTGTGGTTAAATACTTTACAAAGTGCACCAAAATAAATACGTTTCAGAAAATTCAGGCCTTGATTGATGTTTTTCATCCCTTAGCGATCATCATGGTTGACGTCCTCCATACTTTAATTTGACATTTAATACTTACATACCAGAAAATTCTGCTTTACATTCTGTTATTGAGTGACATGCTTCTCACATACATTGGACTGAAAAACACAAACACAAACAGGACCTGTGGACCAGCATTAGTGGAGAGAAGTCTACACACTGCAAAGCAGAGAGCTGTTGGGGGTTTAGGTGCCTTGCTCAAGGCCGCCTCAACAGTACTCAAGAAGTCACCTGGCACCTCTCCAGCTGCCAGACCAACTTCCATAGTTTGGTCTGCATTGGGATTTGAACTGGCAACCCTCTGGTTCTGACCCCAGTTCCTACAGACTGAGTTACTACCAACACACTCCATGTGTGTAAACATGTTTTACCTGTTGGAGCTTTATTTGTGGCTTCAAACTATTCAGTGACTCTCTTCAAGTCTGTTCTTTTACACATTTTCTGTAGCTAATTTAAATGACCCAATTACTTATTTTTACCCTTTAAAATGCACCTCATTACACTAAAACATTATAAAATTGGTGACTACAATTCCTTAGTTTTAATCACCAAACATTTTTGATTTGAATTTTTTTTGTTTTTTTTACTTTTTCATATAATTGATTAAATACCTGCGAAAAAAAACAACATTTCTAGCAACTTTACTTTGTGTTTATTAACGGCAAATGTTGACAGCTGCATTTTGATTAAAGCACTGCTGCGAGTAATCACAAACCCAGAAAGGAGGTTCTGTGATTGCAATTTTTACTCTTCTAAAAAAATGATGACGCACATCTATGTTTCTTTTTTTAAACTGGTATCCACTGACATGAATCATATGGCACATTTCTTTCGTTTATGCTTTTATTTGATTCTCTCACAAAAATGGGAGTAACGCAGACGTAGTTCATGCAGAAGAGCTGTGGTTTGTTAAACAAAAAAAGAAGCATGGTCCCCTTTATCTTTACAGTACGTGTTTTGGATGCATGTACCATCATTGGAAGTGTAGAATTAAGGAGCTGAGTCTTGTGTGGTTTCACTGTTTTTTTCTTATTTTATTGGAGGCGGAAGGTAAGACACACATTTCATTTTAGTTTTCTCACAGACCTGGCCACCCTTCAGTATCTACAAAGTACTTCCTGTTCCTTCTCGAAAAAAGCAAGAGCTACATCCATCGTACATGTTAGAAACAGCAATTTAAAAAAAAACAAAATAGAAATAAAAATGTACAACATACACTTGATATATATAATATAATTTTTGCTCTTTTTTTTACAGAGGTAAAAATACTAAGCGTAAAAAATGGGTCTAATTTAGTACAGGGAGTTGTTTCTTTAATTTTATCAATTTAAATACACGAGGAGAAAAAGAGGATGTGTTCAGGCACTTGTAAATGGCTCTGACATGTGAGAACACACTCAACACCAGACGAGACAGAGAAAACAAACGCTGACACACACACACACACACACACACACACTAATGCACAAACACACTCTTTAAAATCTGATTGGCTCTGTCCCTGATACATTAAAGATCATCTTTAAAGGATCTGATTATACTGAAAAGGTGTTCGTGTGTATTAGCATACTCAGCTGATCCCAGTAGCTTTGGATCAAGGAGCAGGAGAGGGGAAAGGGATGTGGGATAAAAACATGCGCACACACACACACACACACACACACACACACACACACACACACACACACACACCAAGGACGTACAACTGGTACACAGGACAGGATGTATGAAACAGACACAACCAGGGGAGGAAAAAGGACATCCTCAGGCATTCTGCATTTCAACCACAGTAAGTGACATTTCCTTGGCAAAACAATCAGGGATGGATGTTTGTCTTCAGGATTTCAGCTGTTTTTTAAGGCTCCCCTTCTTTTCCAATGGGGCCCTACTCAAATCCTGCTTCTTTTTTTAATCTTTTAAAGGTAACTGTGTTCCTGGTCCCATGTGTGCAATGACCTGGGATTAAACAACACAAAAAGCACCGAAGCAGCTGTCAGTTGTGTGTTGTACTGTCAGTGTGAAGGGTCCGATTGGTCGGCTGTAGTGTCACTCAAACGGAACAGGCAGATACGGATAGTGTTTTCATGTTCCTCAAATGCCTGAGTTTGAATATAAATACACCTACTATAACCCTGAATGAACACAATTTAACTGTTACTTTTGCTTATTCAAACTAGCTGTTGTCAAACATCTGATGTTACTATTTGTAGGCATGATGCTGTATAAGAAAAAAATATATATTTGAAAGGAAGGAAGAATGGAGCGCACCAGTAGCATGCATCTTTGGATCCATTCGCCTATAAAAATTAGGGGCTGAAAATATCCGTTGACACTCTTTGAAGTACTTGCTTCCTGAAGCCTGAAGCTTGGCGATGTCCAAAGGCGAGAACATTTTTTTTTTTAACCCAAAAAGAAAATTCTAACCAGTAGAGATTCCAGGAAGTCACTGCACCCAGCCATGAAGTAGTCCAAACGAATAGCCTCCTATAAAACCATTTTTTTTGTTTTAACACTTCCTTTAAAAAAAAAAAAAAAGAAAAAAAAAAGAAAGACAGACTACATAATTTGAGTTAGTAAGTGAGCTTTGGAGGTGCTGTTAGATTTTACAAACTTGAGACAAAGTCAGACTAAATTTCCCCTGGTTTCCGGTGTTAATGCTAAACTAAGCTAACTGACAAATTTCCCAAAATGTCAGATTATTACTTTTCCAACTCAGGAAGGACATGTAGACTTATAATAAATATGTGTGAAATAAGAATTACTACATAACTGTAGTGACATTGAACACGTCAAGTTCAGTTTTTGTTCAATTGGCAAAAGGAAAGAAAGTAAATGTTTCATACTCATTTTCCAAAGTACAGAGAATCTAATGATTTTTTTTCTTTTTTTTTTGCCGGGAATATGGACATTTGATCATAGTCAGAAATGTATTTCTTTAAACTATCAGCTGAGACTTTGCTGTTCCACATATATGACTGGTGGGCTCCATTGAATGGCAGGGCTTAAAGAGGGGAACTGATTGTACATCGCAAGCACACTGAAGTCCTTCGTTTAGACACTTGATGAGTTTCTTTTCACCACAAAAACAGTAGAAAACCGAGTTTTAAAGAGTATTTGTTGAGGCTGATTGCTCTGAGCCGTAGCTCTGCTCGCGCATTTTTCATTAAAGACGACATCTTCAGACGAACAAGGGTGAAGCTTGGAGCGAAACCCCGCATTTTAAGGCATAACGGGCACCAATTTCAACTGTATCTCTGATTGATTCGTCAGTGCTGGCCTGACCTTACACGGACTGCTGACTGAGGTCTAAGACTGGATGAGTTCCTGGTTTAGGTGAAAGTTTAGGCACTGTTTGAAATAACATGAAAGGAGAAGGGAGACGGGTGCTAGAGCATCTCAGAATATCTTGAAGCACCGTCTCGTTCAGTGAGAAAATCACAACCCAGCACCCTTTTGCTGGTAGATCAATTCAGAGAGAAAATAAATAAGATAAAAAACACAAATCTTTGGGATATTAGAAGTAGATGAAGATGAGTACCACATTTGTTTCAGTGAACAAATGATGTTGATGGTGGAGCTATGCAGTCTATAAACATTAGCCTTACTATAAGCCGCAGAACAGACAACAAAAGGCCTTGGCGCAATTTTCTAAGCATGCACATATACCATACACACATTCGCGCACACACACACACGCGCGCAAAAATGTGTAGTGTTTGATTTCTCTTGTAGCTGGGGTTGAGCTGAGCAGGCCTGATATTGGAAGAGAATATAAACAAAATGGCAACACGTACATCAAAGGAGAGAAAAAAAATAGAACAAAGGAACAATTCAAGTTCTTTGACGCCGAGTCAGTGTACAAAGTATAAAGTACCTGCATAAGTGATACATGACATATAGGTCAGCTATAAAAAAGGCCCCCTGAAAAAGAGTGCTCTCTCACTATAAACAGAGCATGAAATGGCCATGTGGAGAGCTAAGAGAACTGTCTGCCGTGAGGGGGAGCTTATCTTCCCAGGCCGTTTAGAAAATGCACCAACAGTTTTTTTTTTTTGGCTTATTTCAGTGTCTGGAATTTGTAGAGAAACCAAGAGTAACCAAGGCAAAAGTGCCAGCAGCCGTGACCACTTGCCCCCTCTGTGTATTTCCACGTCCTTCCCTTTCCCTGTGCTTGCGTTGGGTTTTAGCTATTCATTGTTTCCTCTCAGAGGCTTTTTTCTTTTTTTCTTTTTCCAAGCGCAGCAGCTCAACTCAGGGCCTTGTGTCGGCCTCCGCAGCAGCCGCACCTGAGCCCTGCCCGGTGGCAAGCGTGGAGAGGCGGGTAGAGGCAGAGGCAGGGCGCTACCAGAGACAAACCGAGCAGTGCTAACCAGCGAGAGCCTAGTCGGCCTCCCCCACTGCCCTCGCCCCCATCACATGAGCACGGGTCCGAGTAGTCTCCCTCTGGGTCGGACATGCAGTGGTAGAGCATTGTGTCTGCCAGCCACATGCAGCTGACTCGCCGGATGCAAGCCCGGACAGGATCCGGCGCATCCTGGCACCGGCCTCTTCGGTTGTCAGAGATGTAAAAGGCCTCTCCGCAATTCTCACACTGAGCACGCTCCATCCCATCATCCTTCCGCCCCTTCCCACCATTGGTGGATGGTGACGAGTTTGGGAGAAAGGAGCTGGGCTGGCTGGACACCACAGAAGGGAAGCCTTGGCGATACGACCCGCCCTGGCCCTTATTGACCATTAAGGGTCCAAGTGCGGGGTCAGAGTCTGAGGGCGACAGGGCTGGTGCCAGCGGGTAGGTGTAGTCATGTTTCTGTGCCTCTGTCTTGGCAAAGTGGACGTAGGACTCATTGTCATCCATTTGGATAAACTTGTCACGTACAGTGGCGTGGCGGTAGTCCTCGTAGCCCGTAAGCCAGGAGCGCTCTGACTGGCGGCCATGATGGTGCTCGGTAGTTCCTTCCCAGCTGCGCTCTCGAGGGTTGATTCGCACGATTTCCTCGTCTTCCTGAAAGGTAACATGGCGAGGAAGCCGGCACAGCGGCTAGGGAGACAGAAAGAGAAACTTGAGCACCGCTGGCAGAGCTCAACCCACACTGCTAAACAACTATGATAAATTACAAGTAAAACTAAGAATACCTGAATACCAGAATCATTCATTTAGGAAAGAGAACCTGTTTCTCCAGTCTTGTTAAAATCACTGTGTGATAAAAAAAAACAGCATTCCCTGTCTCACCTGGTCCAGGAAGTAGTGGTCCGACAGCCGGTAAGGGTCGTGGAGGTCGTGGCGATGTGTCAGCACGCACTTATGTCTCTGCGGAAGCGGGGAGGACTCAAGCTGCTGCAAAGAGCTCTCCAGTCTCTGGGAGGAGTTGGATGAGCTGTCTGTGGTGTACTGAGGGGACAAACAAACACAGGATGCAGGCTGAGAGCAGCACTCTGATTGGATACGCCAAACAAACAGTTAGTGCGAGAGGACGACATAATTGGACAAACAAAAACAGGAAGCTGCAGCGCAACTTGGATTCGACAAAACAGGAAGGGTGAGCTATGTTGCTAAAGCCACTTGATCCACATTTTGGATCAGTGTGTGTGTAAGTTATTAACATCTGCCATAAATCATCAACAACAGCAGACGAGAAAATATATAATTGCCATCACTTTGACCACATTTTGTCCCATGGAGATTTATACTGTAATTACAATGGGTATCATTCATGTATTAGCTTCAAAAAGGAAGGTAATTGATTGCAAAACTAAAGTATTACACTCAGTGAGTTTAAGCTAAGTTCATCTAATGAATGTAAAATAACTTATCTTCCACTTACGTTGCTCTATCTTTTGAGGTAATTCTGAGTTTTGACTGTTTTTCCACCATTGCGAAAAGAACCCTGCACATAGTCTAAATGCATTCATACATTAACGTGCTGCATTTCTGGACTAGATCAGGCATCAGGCAAATTGAACCGTAATTTTAAATGTAAATTGCACCATTAAATAACGCTTTACACCTGATAAAACAGTGGACAGGATTTAATTGATATTGAATCCCATCCATTAGAGAAGCTAAACCAGAGAAAGTTTTGTGGTTTTTGTTACTCAACGATGACTTAAATGATTAAATCTTTGATAAATAATGTTGACGTTTTAAGCTTTCACCTGTATTCGGCCTCTCCCCATCCTCCTCCTCCTCCTCCTCCTCCTCCTCCTCCAACCTGTCTTCCTTCTCCCAATCTCACTTTCTTTCCTTCTCTTTCTACAACTCTATGTTTGTGTGTGTATTTGAACAGTATCCTGTCCCCTTTCCGCTAAAGTCGGTCAGGGCTCCACTCCAACTCAAACCTCGGCCAGACACTAGACAGTCAGGTTACTCGCTGTGGAGCACTCAGGCACACACATTTCATGCACACTGGGTGCCAGACTCACCAGGGCCAGGTAACAGCAAGTAAGAGGAGTACATACTGGGGAAACCAAAAACATAATGAATCTGTTTCATGATGTATAGTGATCAGAACCAGTCTCAAAATAGAAACATCATCACCCACTCACATGCGGTGAATTTTCATGAATATTACCTGCTGCATTCACACACCATCCGGACCACACGCAGAAAAATTTACCAGAGATGTTTTCACATATGCACTCCTGAAAATATCTAGATAACTCCAGTATGACTGCTATGGAAATTCTCCTAATCTTGCTGTTTACATATGCACCTCACAGGGGGAGACTATTACTGTCAGACGGGATGGGTGGCATGGGGGTCTCCTGAGGTAAGCAGGCCATAAAAAAACAACAACGTGGAAGTAGCGGACGAAGCAGACCGCTATAACGACAATACTTGACTTTCTATTAATACTACTCTGTATAATATCCTGCTGTGTTCTCATATCTGCTCACTCTGACTTGCTGAGGGAAAAGTACTCTGGGGTCTGGCAGTAGAATGTGGCTTTTTGTGTTCACAAATTTTCAGGAGTTTTAAGCAAGTGTGAAGCAGCAGGACGCTGGGTGAAAATTTTCAGGTACGCTACTGTCATCATTTCCACATGCAGCAGCAAACCCCAAAATTGAGTGTTGTGCATATTTCAATGGGGCTTATGACGCTGTCAACATGCTGGTATTTAGCAGGAAACATTCACGACTATCGCTGTTTTAGTTGAACATGTATCTGAGGTTGATAGAAATGTCATTGGTCTACTACAGAAAAAAAAAAACCTAAGTACTAACATTAACATATTTCAGTCTGAACCCTTTAGTAAATGTGTTGTGGAGCTACTTTGCTTTGGAACAAAAGCTATGGGTTCAATTAAGTCAGTAGGAATGATCCTCTGAAGACCATGACCGATCCACTGACAATTCCCTTCAGTCAACTGCTCTGGATGACACCAGCTTTTAAATACCTCACAGAAATGTTGTTTTTTTTGCACTGTGAACTGTGGTCATTTTCAGATCACACATATCCCTGGAAATCCTAACTAACCTAAACTTTAAAACAATGTTCACCCTGTGTAAAATCTGGAATCCAACAAGCCTAAAAACAAAGCTATTTATTATAATACCCAGATCTGCTTTCTGTCTGTCTGTCTGTCTGCTGAAGCTATCCCTATTATATCCTACTCCCCACATGGATACCGCCATGCTGAGAATTTCCCCCAGCTTTCTTACAAAGCCCTCAGAGCAGCCGGCCAAAAATAACAGAACATGCTGCCTCCACTCCAAGCCCCGCCCCCCTGGAGAAGACATTACCGGGGGGAGGGAGGAGCTGATACGGTACAACTTGGGCCTCCACGGCTGCAACTAATCCAAAACACAGACCAGACTTTTTGCTGAAAGCAGAGGACGGTGAGACAGAGAGGAGTTGAGGGGGAGAGTTTATATTTCTGGACATCCTCTCCCATATATTCTAGCCCAAGGCTGCATGGAGGGCATTTCAAGTTATTTTCTGACACAAAACATGTCCAGACTCAAAGCTCAAGAGAATTCATCCTTCAACAGTCCTGTCTCACTCTCCTGGGATGAGCCCAGAATTGCTTCAATAGCTTTTTACTCCCCCTTTTGTGAATGAGCCAAAATAGAGACAGAGAAAAGAGACGTGCTGGGGGTGGGGTTGGGGGCAGAGGAAGGGTCGGGTTATGTTTAGGTTTGGGGAATGAGAAATAATTTTGGGAAGTATGAACATCCTTGCTCTCCCCCCTCTGCAGTGCCCCCCTCCCCCCCAAGGCTGTAAATCTGCTGCAGCATTTCCCCCTGTCCACAACCTGCCTCGCTAACTCTCCTGCCACCGCTAACTTTAGGAAAGGTCATAAGCATATTCTAGGAGAAAAATAAGCTGTACGTGATCATGAATGCATCCAGGATTTCTCAATTCATTGTACAAATGTCGGACGACAGCTAAGGTTTGTTGAATCACCATAAGGAAAATAAATAAGCCTTGCATTAACATTGTTCTAATTGGGTTTTGTCATTTTCCTGCCAAACAGCTACACTGCCCCTGCTCATCAGTCAGGTCCGCCATGCGCCTTATTATCAATAACTCTTATCCTTCATAAAATCAAAATAGATGAGTGATTAAAAATGCATTAAGTGTGTTCCGATAAAGACATGAGCTATGTAGGCCAAATTTGTTTTTTTGAACCAGACTGTAAACATGTTTATTTCTGCTGTAAAAACAGGCATTTTTGAATCGGTGTGTCTATGACAACTTGGGCTTCTGCAGCCAGCCTCAGGTGGACACTGCAGGGACTGAAGGCTTTTGCACTTCAGCATTTTCAACACCAAAGGTTGCAGCACACACACATGTGCTTTTAAAACTTTAACCAGAAGAGACGAGGGATGTGTCAAAAATCACACACTCATTCCCTACTCACTATACAGGGAATTATATGTAGAGGACTATATAGCGCACTGATTTGAGACAATTAAAAAACATGTTGGACACTAATCGCTCACTCACCAGCTTATGCTGTCACATAAATAAAATGTGCAGCCTAACACCCGTCAAGGATCAATAATAATGGTAAACAGTGGCATGAATTTCAGTGATGACTTATATTATACTGACTTTATTTTCACACAAAAATGGTTAAAAATAATAGTTTCAAATATTTAATCTTTTGTGCTTATAGACGATGGTCTCGTATTTGCATTTTCATTAGGAAAAACTTAATGTTACTCCAATGAGAATCCTTCACTAAATCTCTGTAAAAATGTGCCCAAAATATTAACGTTTTTGTTTTGTGTATTCATGCTGGTCCCTCATGTTGTTCGTCTGTGAACAGTCAAACACTATTTTCCATTCATTTATTTAAATATTTTTTTTAAACTCCGCTATAAGGGGATTAGGGAGTTTTTCTCTTTTTAATCACTTTTTGTAATATAATAGATTATTTTAGAGTTTAAACTGAGCAGTGAGCAGTTTAGTTTTATTTTGATGAATATGGCAGCTTTTTAAGCATAAATACAAATAAATCACCTCTGATTTGGTGAACTTGGAGGGTCCACTTTCCTAAAAAAAAAAAGTCTAATGCTCAATATTTGTGGACTGCTCCACCCTCTGACAGCAGTGTAGCCTCCCTCCTCTCCTCCTCATGTGATGTGTTTGTATGCGTCTCTGTGGTGGCTGTACACTCCCAGCAGAGCACCTATTAGTCTTGGCCCTTACAGACAGCTTGAGTCAAAGATGAACCACGAGGCACTTCCTCTCGTAAATCACTGGGCTCGCACTAAGCTGGGAAACAGCTGCTAGCTGCTAGTTTGGTCGCGAATCTCTTTTTCAAATGGGAGGGTGTAGGGTGGGGGCAGGGGGGTCACCAGGAGAGAGCACAGTGGTGGGATACAGGAAGTGACCCTGTGACCCTGCCTGCTGCTCCTGGTGTCAGGTTACAGGGTGGGGGGAGGGGGTCCTTCATGCTAACTTAAGGTAGAGAGGCCCGGCACATAAAAACCAAAATACACACAACACATACAAACCTTTGCCATGTTCACACTTGCACAAAACTCCTGAAAAACTCCTGACGTTTTCAGGTCGAGCTGCATGTGTGAACGCAAACTGCCAATTTTTTCTCTTGGACATTATCTGGAGTTTCTCCTGCCAGCCCCTTATTTTTTTCACATGAAGTCCGAGTGAGCTGATGTAAGTATGCAGCAGAATATAGTCAGGAGAATTCACCTCGAGCGATGGGGAGATGACTCGGGTTGTGTTAAAAAAATCAATACAGCAATATATCGCCATGAATTCCTTGCAAATACGTGCACTGATGCAGATGCTACCGAATCTATATAGCTTTCAAAGACACAAAGCCTTTGGTGCAGTTCAAAATAAAGCCAATAGGAGGCAGTGGAAGCCAAACTACATCAAGAAGAACTCGTTCAAATCAAACCAAACAATCATACATGAGAAACTCCACTGACAGCAAAACTGAAAGCAAAGATTAAGGTAGCATTTCAGCTTTTCGCAAACACGAGTAGGTCATTTGTTGGACATGAGTCATGCAATATGAACCATTGCAAAAGCAAGGTGGACTACTGTATCAACACGACCAACCTACATCTACACATGACAGGTCGTTAGCAACAATAGCTAGGTCCACTACACAGGGACAGTGTGTGCTGTCCCAACCAGCTCGGACTGGCTCTTTTGTCAATATTGTAGTTCTGTCGAACTAAACATAGCATTGATATAAAGGCAAATATTAAGATTATAGTGTCATATATGGGGCTCAGTTAGTTAATTAGCCACTTCTGCATTGTTTTTTTCTAATGTCATGTCTTGCCTCAGGAGATCCCACACCCACCCCTCAGACAGAAATAGTCTCCCACTTATAGGTTCATATCTGAACAACCAGATCAGGAAGATTTCAAGGGAGATCCTAAAATTCTCTGGAAATTTTGAGAACTGCAGTTGTGAAAACGATCAGTAATTGATAAGAATTTGGAACTATTTGTATAAAGAGATGATGAGATAAACGTCATTGGAAACTCTGCAGGGGGACTACTTTAGAAGACTGAACGGTCAAGGTGACATTTACCTGGATTTCTATATACAGATTCTTAATATATTTGCAGAATCTATAGGGGAGGGACAATATTTTTGGTTGTGGAAGTATTCTGGTTGCCACATACAAGTGCAAGTTGTACTGTCTGATAGCTTTTTAGAAAGCTTTGGTTGTGTGCATGAAATACAGATGTTGATGATAAGGATGTTTTTTCAAGTTATCAAGTTGAAAAACATCTAACCCAGGAGGACTAAATGGTAAATGGTAGATGGACTTGGACTTGACCTTTTCCTAGTTTTCTGACCACTCAAAGCACTTTTAAACTACACATTCACATACTGCTGGCATAGCAGCGGAAGCAATTTAGAGTGCCCAAGATCGTGGACATGTGTCTGCAGGAAATGGGGGTTAAAACCCACAATCTTCCTGTTTCAAAGGTTCTGACTGACTTTACCACTGAGCCACAGCCCCCTTAGCCGACGTCTGGTTTGTGCATTTGTGTAATGATTTATGAATTTATTGTCCAGCCTTCCGTGATCATGAGAAATAGTCTCACTGGAAAATAAGCAACTAAATAACGTAGCCATGCAGCCCACCAAGGCAGGTTCTTGGCATCGTGTAGTGCAGGGCTGTTTGAGGCTGAATGCCATTCATTGAGAATTCCACCTTGAAATAATATCCTGGTACTGCCTAATGTGTGAAGAAATATGTGTGGAAACATTGCGCGGAAATTTAACTATTAAGTTGAACATGTTATCTTTATATCTGTAATGGTCCCATTTCCAGCACATCTTACAAGAAACACCCATTTTTGTCTTACTATGTCAGGGAATTTCACATAGCAAAGAAATTATCAAAGTTACCTCAAACAAGAAAATGTAAATTTTATCTTGGATTATATGTAGATAAATGCTTACGGTAAAGACGTCGTCATCACCCAGCTCGCCCTCATTCTGGAGTGCTGTAGAGGAGGTGGTGGAGCCTGCACAGAAGAAAACAGTAACATTTTTCAACACAAGGACACAAAACTTTAATGGAAGCTGTCTCCATGAAAGTAAAGCCTCGAGGGGGACTTTGTAGCAGTTTTAACAAAAGACAGGAAGATACTATGGTGATACACGAATCATCTTTGACTTTTATTCTCTAATGATCTGTTTTTGTCAACTGTAAATTTCATGGTGTGTTCACACAGGCACAAATCTCCCGATATTACGTACTGCAGCAAATGGGAAATCAGCACAACTCTGTGAAATGAAGTGACTTCATACTCTTCTCTGTGTGCCAATATGTATTCAACACTCATTCATTAAGTCCAATTAAACGTAGCATTGATATAAAGGCAAAAATGGTCAGAATAATTTCCTTGATACATCATGCCATGCCTTCTGAGACCAACAGGGAATGTCTCCCGATGGGAGGTGAGTGCTTAACTGGCCAGTCAGATAGATTTCAGTGACAGCCTGTTTCTAAATCTCTTCTTGCACCTTATGACAGTATCCTGATCGCCTGCTTAAATTTTTTTTATCTTCATCTGGTTGACTTGGACTTTGTGAATCCTGACTGATCTGTAAAATGACAATTGTTGGGTGCAGCAAAGCGTACCTTCAGCCAGGTCTTCAATTGCTTTCCGAACCCCTCTGTCAAATGCTCTGGCATCAGCTGGACTCTGAAAGGACAGGCCACACTTCCTGTCCTCCACCTTCCAATGGTGAAATGTGGGTGTTGCTATGGTGTACTTGATGTCCTTCCTCAGCGGACAGTCCAGGATGACCTTTTAACCAATCACATGCCATGTAATCAGAGCAGGGATACATTCTCCATATTGTTTCCTTTAAATATCAAAGTATGCTCTGAATGAAATGTCTGTTTGTGTGTATATTTTACCTGTTTGTCCCGCAGCCTTTCACCCCTGATAAGAAACTGTGAGCTGCAAGAGGCTGGAACGGGGGCCAGCTCTGGGGGCAGGAGTCGGCACACACCAACTCTGCTCAGAGCTCCGCCATCCTGGGCCAGCCACCCGCCGCTCGAGTCGTCCCTCGTCATCACCACCGCTTTCACACGCACGATGTAGCTGTCACTGCAGAGAGACAGATAGAGACAGACACATGAAGAGTGAATAGAAAGCAACTAAAATATGTTTGTATTACGACCTTAGAAATCCGGTCTAGTAGCAGAAGGTCTCCACAACACATTATTGTGGACTGAACATTAACACGGAATAAAAGACTTTCACTTTGTCATTTGAATAATCATCTTATTAATAAACATGTTAAATGATACTTAGATTTTTTTAAACTTAAATCATCATGTTAAATGTTAATTGCAAAGAAAAAAAACACTAATTTCTGTAGTATAACTTCAGAAAAAAACAATTACATTTTTAGAAGACAATTTGTAGTGCAAGCTTTTCGAACATAAACAAAGTGTAGCAACTACGCCATAAATGCATAAATTTGAGGAAAAAAAACAAACAAGAACAGCACTCAGGGCAGCAACAGGACAGACTATAAAAATGTGTATTTAAGCCTTGAAACAAATATTTTCCGTGCACAACATACAAAAGCTCTTTAGGCAACAAAGATTCTTCCCCAGGCAGCATCTACTATTCTTTATCATAGTCTAAACTTGTAAAGACACTGACTAGACTCAAACTTGTTTAAGAGTGTGTTTATGCCGCAGCAGGTTATTATAGAACCAGATTAACAGAGTGCCAGAATGTTGGAGGGCGTCTCAAGTCACGACTTTGCCTGGTGGTCGCTGTGCTGAGGTGGGAGGTGTTGCACCAGGACAAATCAGCACACACATACAAACACACTAAATGTAAATCTAGCTTTGTTTTCTTCCTTTGGTCTTGGTCAAAACCTGGGAAAAAAAGGCAAACGTAAGCCTGGGAGGATGATTCATTATTAAAATTCTTAGGGCACGCGCCCCCCTGTATGGAGGCTGTAGTCCTCCAGGTGGACGGCCCGGGTTCGAATCTGACATATAGCTCCTTTCCCGCATGTCATTCCCTACTCTCTTTATCCATGATTTCCGATTTTATCCATGGTCCTATCTCTACAATAAAAGGCACAATGTGCCCAAAAAAATATTTAAAAAAAAATTCTTGACTACCAAAAAATGTACTGATTACAGATAATGAAGTCATGGTTGCCTGCAATACAGAATGAAGGCCGTATCACTAACATTAGAAAAACATGTCAAATATTTAATGTACTGTTGTTTCTTTGGTTTAGGCCAACATGCAATTATTTAACTGATAAGGAAACGATACAAGTCACATCTTGGCTAGACACTTTACTGAGGTGACCAAGTAACTATTTGTGAAAATGTCCCACAATGGACCCTAGCAGTTTTATATCGTGGCATTGTCCGTGGTATCATTGCTTAAAACACGTGTCCAAAGTGTTTATTACAAGGGTGAAGATTTGTAGATGTTAACTTTATTCGCTTTGATCAAACAAATTCTGAATAAATAGAAAGTATTAAAATGTCTGTCACTTTCTGTAAAGAATTCAGGAGATTTTCTAGCTTTACCCACAGGTTGTTTAAGGAAAATTCCAAATGATCCCTGATTGCAGAAATGTCAGATTTGCTTCTTTTCTCTGTTTGACTACGATACAGAAGACTTCACCTTTGGCCCTGGTGGGTACTTATTTTCTGTCACACAGACTTTTAGATACTATAGCTACAGTTTAGTCTGTACACCAGTGCAAAACAATACCTGACAAAAACTCCCTCTGCAGTCAATAGAGTCCTCAGTCCCAATGCATGAGACAATACAATGGATGCTGAATAGTTAAATACAAGACATTCTCAAGCATTAGCATGACAGGCCACCACCCTCACAGGGACACAATGAACATGGCCACAATCCTCATGAATGATCTGACAATAACAGGATGTACCTCTGTGTATTCCATCTATGCCTCACTTTGTGTGTGTGTGTGTGAGTGTGAGTGTGTGTGTGTATGTGTGTGTGTGTGTGTGTGAGAGAGTGTTTAAGAGTGAGTGTCTGTGGGTTGGATGAAGGGAAAAGAGAACCAGAGAGATACTGAGGGAGGGAGGCAGAGTGGGAGTGAATGAGAGAGGTGTTGTTATATAATTAGCCTACAGACCGTCCAGGGGATTCGCACTACACACTCTCTCTCTCTCTCTCACACACACACATGCGCGTACAAACACACATATACACACAGGTGGCAAAACTGGTTCACCAACTCCCACCCACACACATTCATAAAACTGACTGAATGACAGACTGACTGACTCAGTGACAGCAGACAAATAGAAAATAAACTACAGATTCATCTGAGCTGAATTTTCTATTCAGATAATAACCCAGTCGTGTTTTAATCTAGTCAACAAGAAACAAGCCTGGACATTAATTTACTGTCAATTTCAGAGCATTTTGCAAATAAATTACATAGTAAAAAATTGAAACATGAACTGGTTGATTACATTTTTTCTGCAGAGTGGAGCTCAAGTGTTACAGTTTGTAGGCATAGCCTAATCATGCCATGTGTCATGTCAAACCACAATGAGAGCAAATGAGTCATTGAGGTTCTATTTAGCCACGTGGAAAACTTGAATGGCAACAAAGAAAATAAAAGAAATTCAAAACAGACACGTCAATGATCTATTTATATTTCCATTATTTTCCCTGAGGGGAAGGCTTGCAACTTAGCTGACCTTGCTAATTAGAGGCTACAATGCCTATAGCCTATTTCATATTTAAAGTCTTAATACGCGATTTTTTGATCCAGCAGATGTCGCCCTTGAGCACCAGCATGAAACCAAAACAACTGCAGCGCTGCATTGTTGTGTTAGCATGCTAATGCTAGCGATCTTTATTATGCTCGTATCTTCACACTGCATGTAAATTTACCCGAAATGACCGTGATCTAGAAACGCTTACGTGACATTCAATTAAGCAGTGGGTACAGTATGTTCTTCTTCTTTTCTGTAGTCCCTCAATTAAACAACTTTCATACGCGAGGAGATGAGCCGGCCGTCTGTCCGGCGATGTAAACAAACTGAAGATAGGACTTGGAAAGCATTACAGACAGTGGGACTCGGGTGTTACATCCATTGTAGACAGTCATGACTCACAGAGTTATTTTCAGAGGATGTACTTGATTTATATTACATTTAAGTGTGAAAAATTGCATATTAAGCCTTACAGGTTAGCTTTCTGGTAACAAGCTTTCAAATCACAGCTCATTAATTTCGATGTCATGTCCTTATGTTGTTGACTGTTCAATGTTAGAAAATATTTCATGTAGTATAAACAACTGGTTATAGATTTTTTTGGAGCAGCAGCTATGCTAGCACTCTTGATAACAATGCATTCAGAACACTGGAAACAACTTGTGACTTAAATTTAATACTCAGAAATATAGTCCCAAGTTCCTTGTATTGAAATGTTGTTGTTGGATGATATACATGTTGGTAAGCAGCTAACCACTTAGCATTCTGGCAAAAACATATTGTAAAAAGCAACCACTGAACAGACACTGTATTCAGTATCTGTATGGCATCGGAAGCCTTTTTCACACTCCAAAAGATTGTCGGATAATTCCAGGCAAACTACCTCAGAACTGTTCCTGAATTGCTTGTTCACACATGCACCTAAAAGCAAAGGCTAGCCCTGTCAGATAGAAGAAGCTAGGACATGTTGTAAAAGACAATGTAGGAATAGCAGACGATGCAACACTGTCCAATGTTATATGACTCTGTAGTGCTGGTCCCAGAATATAAGCCATAACCTCCTTCCTCTTGCTCACTGTTAATTATCCGGAGTATTTCCTGCTGCGTTTGAGAAACATTTACTAGTTTTGTGCATTTGTGAAAACACCGAGAGTGTGTGAGTGGTTGTGTGTCAAGAGCCCTATTCAGACTGCACATTTAAGGCACGATATTTATGCACCTGTAACATCTCGCCTTCCTTATGAATGTCACAAAGGCATAATTCAGGGACCAAGTAGTCCCACCTCTGTAATACCATTGGAGGTAGTAACAGATGCGTTACAGAGGCATTCCAGGGGTTTCGGGCCCAGCAAGGGAGAACGCTTTGGGGTGTATGTCTAAGTGTGTTTGTGTTTCAGGTCTTACTCAACTCTGTATCGTAATGGGAATACACAGACTGGGAGACCAATATTACACAGTTGTGTTTGAAAGGATAAAAGTAATGATGGCAACTTTTTCCTGAACAGCAGCGGACGAGATACTGTCTCAAAAACAACTCTGTCTTCTCACCACTCTTTCTGATATTTCAACAAAATACTGGACAACAAAATTAAACTAAGAATTACATCCATGAAGTTATTCTGCATGTAGATTAGTTTTTTTTTTCACAGAGAAAGGCTTGGTGTGAAGATACAAATCCACATGTACGGCTAGCTTTAACACGAGCAAGTGTACAACACAGGGAATCTCACATCCAGTTTAACCACACAGAAATAACAAGAACTTCTAAGCACGTGAGCATTTAGATACACGATACAGGCTCTCTGTAGCTCTCTGAGATGAACCTGTCACATTTTGGGCCGTCTTGTGACCCATGTTTAGAGCCCCGTTTGCTGACAGGCCCTGTAATCTGTGGTTGGAACACACAGACGGCCACAACCAGCAGCAACACGCTACTTTAATACACTTGGGAGAGACCATCCATTCTGGCATAAATAAACACAGACACACACATGCATTTGGTAGCTGTGAATCTAAATCGGTCCCCACAAATGCAGCACGAGGTACCAATGCCGAAAAGGGACTATGATGCCCACTTTAAGAAAAGGCGGGTGATGCAATATTATAGTCAAACAGTTTTGCAGGTATTCACGCCTTAAACTTTATTCATACTTCTTCAACAGTGTGACTGTAATACTACCGATAGTATTTGAACCAAAAGTTATGCTGCGGTGTTTTATAATATCTTATTTCCTCAGACATTTGTTAAGGGTTACAAGAACTTTTTATGGTTATTTTTTTAGGTGGCATGAGGACGTTAGTCAAAAGTTGAATGATGACTCAGTTCAGAAGCAAGGTAGGGAGGATGCATCACCACCAGGCTGATAA